GTCGCCTTCAAGTGGTGTGTAGGCTTTCCTGTCGTTAAAGACTTGGTTAGCCTTGTTGACTTATTCAGTTTTTCCCATGATGACGTTTGCACCACATTTGTCAGCCGACACAATCACTTTACTGTCCTCTGTCTCTGGAAACGCAGCCTCGAAATGCCTCTCGCTGCCTAGCCTCCTGTCCACTATATTTACTGTAGAGAATATATTGGTGAAGCACGATGGTTGTTCAAAAAGTCATGCCAACTAGCAGGTAAAGTCTTGGGGCGTCTAGGAAATTGCATTAACACGCCGAAAACGCTTCAGATTACACTATACTACATTAACAGTGTTGATAAGATGGTTATTCACGGTCAACATGCCGATTCCCTCTTGGACAAGTGGATGACTAGAGCTGGCTTTTGGTGGGTTTTGATGCCTGTTCTTCTCCGTCTAGCAGTAAAGTAGCTACACACGAGGGTGGATAAAGTGCATGCAAAGAGTTTCGGGAACGCAAAAAATCTGGTTATGAGACATTGTGGGGTTCCATGTTTGGTGGGTGAGTGGATGGGATTCACCTTTTGTTGGCTCGAAAGTTACGTTTCCCATCTAAAAATTGTTCTTATGGTAAGCATGGGTATAGGTATGTAGCTTTGTGCGCAGAAATCTTGGGCACTCTCTGGAAGTGATGAGGCATTTTCTTCATCATCTCCACTCGTCCACCTCTGCTTAATCAAAAAACATTTTTACAGTGTTTTGACAAATACTATTTGCCTATTTTCATAGCATATCCGACTCCGTGTCTTATGCTTTCACTTTAAAAAAATAATGACTTAGAGTTTCGTAAGCACTACGTCTCCCCCAAATTCGCTTAATCTTGACCACTGGACGCTAAATTCTATGTAATATCCGTTGGCATATGCCGTTGGGCTCTTAAACTACTTTAATGTGTACGTATGTATCCACAACAGTCAGGTATATATTAATAAGAGTCCAGGGAGAAGTTCTTGAATTTTGCTGCCCTAACTTTTAAGTCGGACAATACATAGGTTAAATGTTGACTCTTAGTATGTATCTCGTAGGCCAGGGGTTTCGGTAAAATATATTTGTATGTATCTGTGGTAGATCAAACGCACTAATCGATACCTCTTAGTCAACCGGCAGAAACAGTATGTTAGTACAGGGAAAAACCTAATTTGTACAAACACGCGTGCGAAGGACATTAAAATGGTCACAGTCCACACTAAAGACAGAAATCTGCTAGCAAATGAATCGTATGGTTTTCTAAGAATTGTACCTTCCTGAACACACAACTGCAGTGAATCTGAGTCGTAAGTACTCGGCAGATTACGCGTCCTGGTTACATTAATCATGAACGAGTAACAATACCTGGTCAGTCACTGTGAAAGGTTATTAAACTTGTAATATCTATAAGTTCGGAGGCATCAAACAGTTTGAGTGGGGTAAGAATTAGGTCGGATGATAGATGACAGAACAGATGACAGAACAATCCCACAAAAGATTGCCTCTCGTGCCTCCAGATTTGCAAAAAACATTACGAATCAATTTCCAGTCTACAACTGACTTTAGTGCTAGTCCAAGTTCCTTGATGTGCGCTGTTTGTCGACACTGCGGAGGTCAATGTCATTGAGGCTCGCAAAGGACATTTTCTTTGCTGCAAGCGTACGTCCTGACTCCCAGGACTTAATATCGTGAGGAGTTGCCTGGACATATTCGTATGCAGTCAGGTTCTTATCGGTAACTTATTCTGCTATTAAATTACAAGCCCCTTCAGCTGATCGCGGGCAGCGGTATATGGTAGTTTCACTGTCTTTCTAGTTCCATGATTGTTGACAGCGACCAATCTACCTTTAAAAAGTACGAACGTAGATTCAGTATCTGACTTTTCATTTGCATTGGTGGGCAGTGGTCGCATGTGAAAGCTTACCTTTGTCAGAAGTCAAACTTTATGGTTAGATTTTTTCATTGGCAAGGATTTTAAAACGTGTCGCATCTTTACATATAGCTCAGGATATTTCGACCTCATTGAGAAATACCTGCGTTCGGGAACGTGAAGTATCTTGGCATACTGGATAAAGCAATACTTTGCTAGCCAGCGTGCCCAGGTTCAGGAACCTGTCTAGCTATTATTCCTTAAAGATGCATACCCATCGATGCCAGGAAGTTTTTTATATCATTAATTATCGATGGCCGTGTTTTATGCCCGTGTAGACTGATGCCAGCAGTGTTATTCGCACCGGTTTTATTTCTTCATACAACACAATTATCTGTAATCAAAGGACCGGTTCTAATCGATATAGAAAAAAAGGAACCAAAAATTACTGAAAAGACGAGTCTTCCTGCGCCTTTTTTCGGTGATTGGGCCAACTGGGCCACATCCGCCCATGCCACGCCGCAGCCCATCTTTGTGGCCCAACGCAGTCCCACCGTAGTCACCTCCAGCCCAATCGGGCTAGATCGGGCCTGGTAAGGTTAGTGCCGGCAGAGCCCTTTGTAACCACTCAGTGATTCATCCAATATAATTACCAGCTACATTGGAATTCCCAAAGATTGGGAAATATAGAATAGGAGAATTTAATTTAAGTCCCTTCAAGTGCGGTCTGTCTACTTCTAATGATGGGCTGGAGTACCTATAGGAGCAAGTTGGAAGGACCAACAATAAGGCGGCGTGAAGGGATGCAGGTCTTCTCCAAGATAATGATGGATTGAGGAAGGCCTGAAGTTAAGGCTCTGCGTGATCGAGAGAATGGCAGCGTAAAACAACAAAATTTTACACTTCGAGTACCTGAATTACACTTCCGAGAGCCGCCATAGTCGCCAAGGGAAATATCTATGTGTAATATCGCTTCGCAGTCCCCGGCAGGTTGCAAGAAACGCGCATTAGCATTTCTGAACTCAAAAACTAATGTTATATCCGGTAATATAGACGTTTTAAATTTACGTTTTCCTAAATTTACTTCCGTTGGTTGCATTCCCCTAACCCATCATTCCACATTTAGACAGGTGACATAGCCTCTCGCCATTTATTGTCAGTTTTTTAGATTTGTTAAAAATGTACCAACGTATTCGGGAATCTTCGGATTCGCAAATAGTTCCCATGCTTTTTAAATCACACTGACACTGTTATCTGGGCCTCTGCCGCAAATATTTGGGTTATCGATTAGGGTCAGAACTGAGCTCCCACTTTGCAACAAGGCCCTTTAATTAGCCGAGCAAACTGCAACTTCAGATCCCCAGCAACCTGTGCAGTTGCCACTGCAGAGTAAGGATTGGTGAGGATAAGGTAAGATGAACTGCCGAAAGAGCCCAAAAAGGACTTTGGCTTTAACGGGGGATACAGAAAAGACAACGATTCAATAGCCTTACTTTGATGGATTTTTGGAGCTCAGACTGAAAACCAGCCACCACACTAATTGGAAATTTACCGCAAAGTCGCCTGTTTAGGGCTAAAAGCGCGTCTTAAAGTTTACCATTAAAGTATCATTTTAGCGAAATTCGGCTAATTTCGCTGCCCTCCGCACCACATCGACTATCTCGGTTTGACTGAAAGAGGCTCTATTAGCAGATTCGGTGCATAACAATAACTCTCACATGCTAGCCATGCAGAGGGTGCAAGTCTCGCCTAAGATAAGCTTCGAGTCTATTTGGAAGAAAAAACGGTGGATATCCTGCTTGTGATGGCAAGTGACAAAAAGCGTCACTTCACCTCCGTTGTAGCTGTACACAGCAATGGTGAAGTATATATTTTAACTGGTGTTTTACATGATTTTCTTGATGGAATACGTTGTGTTAACATCTTTTAAACGCAGTGGAAGTCCTGCAACGGAGAGCAGACATGGAGAAGATGGTAAAGCGACCCCTACAAGATCTACGGGGCGACAAGAAACCACCAGTTTTTAAATACATCATAGAGTACATTTAAGTTAAAATAACAGTTTGACTGTTGATTTCGACGGCATACACCATGTGTCCTACATGTGCCATTTGCTATGGGCGAACATAATCGACTAAAACTAACGAATCGCAACCTAGTTTCTTTTTGGTCTAGCATATCTATCTTCTGGCCCATTTAGGACGTAGTGTCATAAACATAATGTAATTAACAAAATCGCACACGCACACACGGATACACAAAGCCCAGGAAAAACTCGTCCATCTCAGATAGTGATGTTTAAAAATTAGTATGACGGGCAGTCATCCTTCTTAAGGCAATTTCCAACGAACAAGTCTGCTTTATCTCTACTGCATTCTTGTTGAAACTTCGCTCATTGTTGAATCTTAGGTAGTAATCGACAGTATGATCTACCGACCTGCAAGCATTAATAAAATATACATCTGGTTGGCTTACATTCTTAGGGTACTGAGACAACATGGGAAGCCTTCAAACCGTCCCGCATACGCTCAGTCGGCCCTAAAGTCATTTACTTTTCCATTTTTCGGAGGTGCATCTGTTTTGCTGTGCTCAAACATTTTGCTCGTATTTACATTACTTATCAGTACAAAATGTTCTATAAAATGTGACTCTTTCCCTCCAAACTAACTTTAAGCCTCACATGAATCATCTAAGGATTGCTATAATGCATGTCGTCTTATAAAAACATGCTCGTTATGCAATAACTAGAGACCAAATAGCCGCTGGTATCCCACCGACCGTTTTGTTTAAACGTACAGAAGGTAAATCTTCGTAACCAGTGCTATATATAAAAATGTAAACTACCCAGACCCCTTGGATCATGGCTCAGTTTACAACACGGATTTATTATTTGGATGATAGGGATCCGTTTGACTATACAAAGTCTGGCTTTCTGGAACCACCGAAACCCCCACGGTTTACCTTTCTTACAGATATATTGCTGCGGACACAGCTTAATGGACTGCACAAAATGCTCAAAGCGCCTCACAAGGTTTAAAAATAATTTTACTCACATTTTCAGCTGGAAAACTGTATCCTGCAAGTCTATCGGTTTGGCCAGGAGCAGAACTTCTTCGGGAATTATTTGGATATGGATGCCACTCTTCAACAGCAATGGGACGAAATAAAAGGATTTTCGGACGAGTACGTGAAAAATTTGACAGTAGAGTAATCTTTGCCTAAACTTCCTTTAAGCATTTTGTCTAATTGCTCCAAACCTTACAGAGCCTCTTATTTTAACGTTTTAAAGCAATGCATTTGGCATATTTTAACAAAAACTAAAATTAACACTGTCGTTTAACGTCCGGGTCTTTGACGGAGGTTTCCCTTTGCTAGGGTAATCTTAAACATAATCTTATTTAATGCATTTCCCATTGATAAGCGAAATAATATTGACCACTCAAGCGTTTAAATTGTAAACCTGAAAGTGAATTTGCCTTTTGTTAGTTAATTCTAGTACGTCATTTATTTCACGAATACTTGTCTGTTTTAAATCACCGAGAAGTTTGGTGCTGAGCAGTAACTATAACCTACGGCGATAGAAATTGCTGAAGGGCAAACAAAGCTTATTAGCTTGGTTTTGGAGTCTCGAATTAAGCATACATTTGCACTAACAATATTGCCAACAATGTTTGGCAATTAATTTGTAATTTTATCTTTGTTCAACGCATATACATCATATTTCAGCAAAAAAAAATGGAAAAAGCGACGAAAATTAAAGTTAGCCGGTATTTTTAGCATACAATGCATTTGGTCCAATCTATACAGGAAAACTCGGTTAAGATCTTAACCGAGTTTTCCTGTATAGATTCGACAAAATGCATTGTATGCTAAAAATACCGGCTAACTTTAATTTTCTTCGCTTTTTCATTTTTTTGCTGAAATATGATGCATATGCGTTGAACAAAGATAAAATTTCCGAATTCGTGAGTTGTTTTAAGGGCCGACCCTTAAAACAACTCACGAATTCGGAAATACTAAAAACAAATTCAGGTTTTTCATCTAGCAAGTGCTTAAGCCTTAAAATTTTCATATATAAAATCGCAAATGGGGGCATTTGGCATATTGACGTCCGCTGTCTGGCCTCCTGGTTTTAGCTAAATTAGTGAGTGGTATTTTTCGCTAAGACCAAAGCTTTACTAATGGGTGTTCGTCCGTAATTTACCAAATCGCCTGCCTCTTCAGAAATTTATGACCTGCAGATATCAATTAAAAACCAGCTTTTCTAACATTGTTGAAGTAAATATAGACGAAAGTACTATATGTGCACTAAAACATATTTGTGTGGGCAAACAATTCGTTGCGATTCATTTTGCACTATCTCTTACCGAACAGCAGCGCTTGAATCATAAGAAAAAATTAAGTGTTACCAAAAGCGCATGTGTTTCACTTTGTACTGTGGTTTTCTGAGAATAATAACTCATATTTTCACATAATCTTGATGCTAAATATGGCCATGACTTAGCAGCCAAACGAAAATTTTGCGATGTTTTCCCTGAGGATCTTTATTCTAGCTTTGAAATCTGATTTCAGACACTAGTGGATACGTTTAAGAAGTTTCGCCTGTCCGTTAATTTTTGTCGCATTGAATATTTACAGCATTAGAGAATGTTAGTGATGTTTTTCGCCTGCTTATGTTCAACATATGTCAGCGCCAATGTACTCTATGCTATAAACAATCAGTAATGCCAGATTTGAATGTCAACAGATAAAGGGAATTAAAATTTTATTGTTAGCTCATTTTCCTGCCTCATTTAGCTTCAAATCACTAAAGAGTTCGACGACCTGTTCAGGATTAACTTTTCACGTCGTCTCAAATTGATGCTGAAATGCAACTTATTAATGATGCACACCCCCTTTGTTTTACAGCAATCCTTCTTCATTAAAGTTGACCCTACAGAAGAAAAAGAACATCCTTCTGTATTAACCTAGAGGCCGAATGCCTGCTTTAGGGTTCGAGCCTTGGAAGATTCTTTGGAGCAGTTGACTGTTCATGCCTCAATCTCAGAATTTTTATATCAGTAAATAGAAATCTGAAGTCAACTGCCACAAAATGGTAGTGGCAAAAACCTGCTTAGAATAAAATCCGAATGCTGCGTCATAGAAAAAATGCAAATTAGGGTTATCGACTTGCTAAAATCATGAGTAATAGACATGGGTGTTCTAAATGCTTGTTTCGTTGCGTGAAATTGGGGATGCCCGCAGTTTTTCCCTTTATTCTGCTGTCCCTGCACAGCGCAGATGTATGCATGATTTTCTCCTTACTTATGCATATGTGAGTAACTGGTGCTCAGAGTTTTGTCAAATCCAATTAGGCGGCATTATATCAGGACGTTTACCATATATTTCGTGAAATCGGACCAACAGAAGATATGAATAATTTAGTCCCATCGTGAGCCTAAGTCGATATCTGATGCTAATCTGTCAAATTGCAACTCAGAAATATTTACACTGATCGCACTTCTGCCTATTTTTGAACTGCCTTACCGTCCTCCCCCTCCTCCTTTTTCAATGAAGCACCCTCTACTAGATACCCCTCCCTAAGAATAACATTAGATACGGCCAAAATTTCTACTTAAGCAGAAACTGATGACATACTCGACCGCAGCTACCACTTATCAGGTTTGAGCGATGTTGTGTAGAGGATATGATTTGACTGCTAGACCAAAGAATTAATCTGCCTGACATTCTGGTTTTTATGGTAACAATCATCAGGAACAACCTCATATAGAGATAACCACTACACAGAGGCTGCAGTACTTATAGGATGCAGTTGCCCTCGAGCCACAGGCGGGCTCAAACTAGCATCTAGCGTACATAATTATACTTGGTTTGTCGTCCATATTTGATTTGGCACTCTGCAATTTCATTTCTAGTACTGGTGACTGACATGATACTTACTCTGCCGCTTTGTCTACAAGTGCCTCCAATAGAAGCAGCGTTAGCTTATGCATCCAGGTGATGCCAAGGAGGCAAAAAGGGAGGGAGTGATAATTGCGCTTTTTGATTGGGACAGGAGAACCAAAACTCAAAGAGGTTACAAGTTTCGCGTTCGTTCTCTCCTGCATGGGCTGTAATCTTATCTAGCCTGCTTAATGTACTAAAATTCCTGTCATATAGAACTGTGCAATGATTTACCGTACTAACAACACAGGTATTAGCTAAAAGCCCAGACACGCGTGTTTCGCCGAGTCAAGTTTTGGACCATGCTTGAAAAGGCCCGTTTCGAAAGATGTACTCCAAGTTCGCGCATTAATTTCCTCGGAAATTAATCAAGGCATTCCTGTCATATTTTATTAATGCTTGTCAGGCATACAACAGTCAAGTGTGATAGGGGATAGAAGGAATGCTAATGGGCCTGACAACTGGTTTGGTTGCATTTACTCCCCCTAGAGTTAACTGCTGTATGCGATTAGAGACATGTCACGGAACGCTTAGTAGCGTAGATGAAATTTACGCATACTTTTTTGCTTTAATTACCCGATATTGTCCTTTGCGCTGATTGTCTTGGAAGTTTTTTACGTAGAAGTCCGGGCTGGGTTTATAAATGGAAGTTTACTCCGCATAAAGCTTATCCCAGTTTTTTCATAGTAAGTCGACAAAATATGTTAATTATATCAGGCTCAGTAAAAGTAAAAAGCGGGCCTACGGACAGACCGGCTTTTATTCGTTTTGCCCCTAATTGAAAAGCATGTGTAGTTCATGCAAAATTGGCAACGAGGTTGACGTATGCTGTCAGCAACCCTGCCCCTTCAGAAAGCCTGCTGATTTCGCAAAGGCCTTCCCTCCGGGGGGAACATTTACCCGCGTTTTTGAAGAGAACATGTACATGCAAACTCAGTGTAATGCATGTGGCGGAATAAATATATAACACACAGCGATCATGAACAGGGTATACGGTCTCAACCATACGTTAGGTGGCTAATGCAAAAATTTACTTTGATGCAGTAATACTAAGACTCTTGACAAAAAACAGCAAACAAAGTAAAAGATAGTTTAGCAGCGGGAATACATGACAGTTTCGACCTTCTTGTTCGACGATGCCTACTGCGTGCTCTATAACAGGGTAACGACAGAAGCGGTGACTAATGTGTGAGCTAGTTTAAGGTAATGGTAGACTTGCGCCGCATCTACCGCGCCCCTCACCTACACCCGCACCTGGGCCGGGGTCTTGACAGAGGCAGGAGAGGACGCAGGTGGCTGACACGGAGAAAACCCGCATGTAGGCATGCCACCACACCCCTGCTCCACAACATACGCCAACAAGGATTTCATATAACAAAAAAATGGTGGCGCCTTGGATCCCAACCGGCGTGGTGTGGACCCGCGCCCTAGAGTGCCACCACACCCCAGTTTTGGCATTTGTCATGGGAATGCATTTTCAGGAACTCCTGCTAGATCTCGATCTAGCCTGCGTGGTGGTCCAGCCTATCTACTGCGTGATCCGTTTTAGGGGTGCAGTGGGGGGACATATAGGTGCACTCATATTCGTATGGTGTGATGTGCCTACTTTGTTGACATCCCGACGAAACGGGTATGCAAGGAAAAAAATCCTTGAAATTATGACAAAGGGGCTCTTTGCTGATGGTGAGTGTAATGCACTTCAGCGTCGGTCGGCGAAAATATTGGAGTAAAACACGTGACTACAGTAGAGCTTGTGAAGAGGGAAGCAGACTGAACTCGTCGCTCTCCGAAAAAGTGTGACCATTTGATCAGTACTGAAGCGTCATATACTGCTGCAGCTGTGACTTCTTGTCAGCTAGTCGTAAGTATGCCTAATAGTAGCTCCCGATCAAACCAAATGCGGTTCAGAATGTGGTAAAGCACGGCAAAGGAAGGGGCCTCGACAGCTCGACGTCAGTTGCTCTGGCAGGGTATTGCTGAGCTGAAAGCGCGCCTAGAAGATATCCATATAGGCAGAAAGTTGCTGATGGACTGCTGAGCACTGGAAGTCTCTATTCCAAATTTTGGAATTCATTTATATCCGATTGACCAATTCCCCCATGGTTCGTATAGATTAGGGCGTTTGCTTTATTGGTTATATTTGGCAGGTTTATTCCCGGAGCTTAAAACTCGAGCTGAAGCTGACAGGGACCTTTTAAACGAGAGATCGAGGGGAAAGCCTTTCAGTAGACTTTTAGTTTGGCCCCAGTGGCAGCTGCACAGGCGATGAGGAAAGGGTCGCCGGCGTTGCTATGCCGTTTTATGTCTGTAAAGTCAAACGCAAAGCGGCAAAAATTACCTTGAGCTATCCGATAATATGAAGTTTTATGGCTGCTTCTTGAATGCTCTAAGGTTGTGGTTGAGCCTGTGGAAAGCAGCGTCATCCCTGGCGATAATGGTGACTAAACACGTTTGCCATATTCAGCCGACAGTGCTCGGTGCGTCCTAATTCCTCCTGCCGGCCTACGGCTTCCACATGGTGGATCGTAGGTTCAATAGTTGTTTATGAAGTCTCGTTCGATTATGGAAGTGGAATAGTCAAAATCGTGGCATGCGAGAACTTCGGTCAAATGTTAACCCAACCACTAAGCCAACTATTATCGCCGATCGAGCTTCCTCCAGTCTTGTCAATGGAACACAATGAATGGGTAAGGAGTGTTAGGCCTACGCGACAAAGTTCTCTGTAGGCATCATAATTTAATTTGCTTCCATCTTATCTGGGGTAGTGGTGATCTGCCTTGCGTTTGACAGACGGACCGTCTTAGGTGGTGTCTCCGCATAATACACTTAGTGTCGGCTGCACGGCCTAAGCTCTATAACTGTACGTACTCGTGGTTTATTTCGGTTTAGCGCACGAACGACGAACGCCAAAATACCTTCTAGGACGCGTTGTGAGCTGCTTTTTGTTGTTCTGGTTTTTGCTATGGCTAGCGTGCACTTATGCACCGGCAGGCCCTCAAAATGGACGTCGATGCAGTTTTTACGGCCTTTGATTGCAGTCAAGATTAAGGTTTTTTGCCATATGGACCACTGTCCCAAGCTTTCCGTCGTCATAATCAATCTTCTGAACTCGCACAAACCGTTACTCAAGCATCACTGCCCATTTAGACCACTCGAATACAAGAAGGGTTATTCGCCTGTTTACTGCCCACAAATATGAGAGGCCTCATTTTAATGGGCTCCTTGAGTGAACTAGTACCGTTTGCAAAAACCTCAAATAAACTAATGTCGGTTTGTGTCTTATTTTATTTTTTTATAACTATACTTGACAATATCTACATTAGGTTACCTACTTCAACACCAAAAGACTCCACGAAACATCATGCAGAGTCGTTTTTAGGGATGTATAAAGAAACAGAGGCGAGAATGTACAAGGGGTAGATAATGTTGCAAAAGAACTTGTAGCATGGCGGAACACTCGGAAGTCCTTGCAACAGTACTCTGCTTATAACGGTGGTATGTGGGGTTCGAATTAGTCATTTACTTTTGCTCCGAACTTTCATTATTTTACGTTTGATGAGGGACTTTCAAAATTCGAAAGGCAGCACCTGGTCTGCAGGTGTTCTGTGTCAGGAAGATGGTGCAAAAAGGAGTGATTTTTACTTATTACATTTTGTCTCCTGCGTATGGAAAATACATCAGTATTTGGGTCTTTGAAAATTGATAACTTGATATTAGAAAGACGCAGGTTTCAAAAATCACAGCATATTCAGCAGTAAGTAGACTCTTATCATCGAAGGCTGCTAGGCTTTGCCTCCGTCGCCCTCAAAGGATGCCCAAGTGACACCTGCTCTGATTCCTTATGCCCGGAAGGACTTTTGTCGATGCAAAACTACAACTTCGCCTTCCAGGTAGTAATTGATTATGAGAGAGACCAGCTGACCCCACATTTATGTCATTTTCTCCCCAACATCGCTATTTCTGGCGGCATGAGGGTCAGAAACGCAGGCTGCTACTCACTCGGCTGTAGTGACCCATAGGAAAAGAAGATTAAATACTTCCAGCGACTCCAGAGGGCGACATACCTGACGGTATTGGGACCACGAATAGAAACGCCACCAACTTTCCAACCCAGAAGTAATACAAGCACGACGCTGTCTGGTGTATGAATGGCAGTTTGCCAATCATCTCTCTGGTCTTAGGTTGCTTTTTTCCTTAGACCTACACTGAAGGTGGCAAATCTAAGCCGTTCGAAACAAGGAAAGGTTTTTTGTTTTTACCTAAGTGCATCTTAACTGGCATAAAAGGGGCTACGGAAGGACGCCATTTTGGACAATTTTGTGGTTAACGAATACAAATTTCCCACACTGGCATATATTATATGTCATAGAAATTACAAAGTATGTCTAATTAGTGAACTCTGTCAGGTAACTGATTAAATACACACCACTTCTGGCGGAAATCAGACAACCGAGCTTAAGGTAGGGAGGCAAAGTACAGTCGTCAAAACAAGGGCCTATGGAATGAATGCCTTTCAGCAGTGTCAGACGTACTTAATTGTATCCTTGCTCAATATTTATACATGCACGCCTAATGGTTTATATAGGGCAGATGACTGAGGTAACACCGACTTCACTTTCTCCGACCGTCAACCTCAAAATCCAGTGTCCAGACTCAGTCACTAAAACTGGGAAATCAACAAGGTGTGAAGTTCTGGCAGAACTTTTTATCGGTCTACACGGGCAGCGACACGTTGGTGACTAGCCTATTTTCCGAATCCCTACTACACGTCCATATTTATGACCGTGAGCCCATTTTGGCTCTTATGTAGTTTTAAAAGGCCTGTTACTGTCCATTTCAAAGACCCCGCCCTCTCTATGGGTTTTACGTCCCAAATAATCGCCTTGTCTCACTTCTATTCCATTAAATGCATCCACCAGGAACTTCCAAATTTTTTGGGAAGCCTGAGCTGGCTGCCTGGGTCAGCAGACATCCTAATCAATGTGGCTAATGTTCTCCATTCCATCATTTAACTTCCTTAGCTTAACTCCCCAAAGAAATCTCTGATAAGGTACGCTCCTTAGCAGTGACCCTAGTATTCCCTTTAAAATGCTCTGCCTTCTCCTAGGTCTTCCATTATGGGTTGAGACCCACCAAGACAGACAGAGAGAACAACGTAAAGGCATTCACGCCAAGTTTAAAGGTGTTCCTCATCTTAAGCCAGGCGTAATGAAAAACGCGGTTAGTTCCAAAACGAACTGCTCACTTTGAATGAAGAAAAATTCTTCGCTTTTCTCAATGGAATAAATTCCTCCTCATTTGCGCTCACTTTCGCCGAAGGCTCCCCCTTCCATTGAAAAATCTCTTCTTTGTCTGAAGACGAAGGACGGCTTAAACATCCATTTTTCTTGTTCGAGGAGCTTCATATTGTCAGAAACATTAAGATGCCAACCCTTTCACGTGTTCGCTTTTGAAAATCACTAAAGACCGACCACTTCATTGCGTTTTTTGTTCGTTCAGAAGGCTATTTTTAAGAACATAAATAGATCTTGGCGGGTAACACAGGAGAAAGAGAGAGACACACACATACAAAAGACATGAGAGCTACGCGAGTCGGAACACTCAGTTGATAGCCTCGGTAAATTCCACACCCACATGCCAGGGCGTACACAGCCTTCTCCAGCGAAAGTAAAACCACGGCCAACTGTGTCAGTTATGTATTTAAAAAAAATGTAACCCTCACAAAATTTACTTTTTCTTATGAATTCTAACATAAGTCGGAAACATCATCTCAGCACACCTTCGCTCCCGGAAAGTAAATCCTTCCCCTCCGTCACCCTCTTTTAAATTGGCTCTCGTAACGTAAATATCCATTTCCGTAACGACTTATCATCCAAATCATTTCCCATTTCTGCGCCCCCTAATCACGCTAGGCCTACGTGGCAAGGGCTTCTAGTTGTCCACCTGCCGTATACCTTCATCGTAAAAACTAATTTCTCTGACTGTATGAAACCTTTAGAAGCACTTGAAATTGTTAATTCTTGACGGCGAAATCTACTAATTCAGGATCTGCAGATCTTGGGCCGCTTTGCGATAACTTCCAATAAAAAGGAAAAATGAAGTTCGTCCCCTTTGAGTTGTTGGCCTTCTCTATAGAGTGTCTTTTCAAACAGTCCTCGCACCTGGATCTTTAAGGGACAGACACGCTGTCGAGACTAGCATCACACCAAAATCATAGAGAACTGCACCTGATCAGACTGTAACATGTATCAGTGCATTCGAAGACGAATTTTACTGAATAACCGAATTGGAGGAGTTGATTGGTTCGCAGACAACGGAACCGCATGCGCTCAACTGATGTCCGAAAAAGAACAGAACTGAGTTTTCTTAAAGTCAACGACGCGACTTGTTTTGTCAGTTTGCATAGGCAGCCTGCTTCCACCCAGCCTATCAGTGGATCTAATAGGGCTGGTTGCCCAGTCAAATGGTTCTCATTTTCAGTGAGTCAGACTCGAGAAGGAGGTTGTAAGTTGAAAACGAGAAAAAGGTGAATGCGTCTAACCGCGCACAAAATGCGTGTAGCACAGCTCAAAGTCTTTCGGCGTTTTTTTGACAACTGTTACATATGACCCCTTCGAGACGATTAATACCGCATATGCTCGACGTGTGCCTTCCCCCATCCGTCGAATGTGGACATTATGCTTTTACTTTTGTCAAAGACAAAGTGCACGTGTCTAGAACCGGGTGGGGCCTTAATGACTGGCTAGGCCGATCCCGCAGTTGCACATGCTCTACGTGCTGATTTCTAGACGCAAAGAGAAGGATCCGACAAGAAGTGCGGCTGGCAGAATTGAAAACTCTCCGAAGTTTTTGAAAGTTTTGCACATGATCCCTCTGAGGCAATTGAGATCACATTTATTTAATGTGCAGATTTCCTCACCTTGGCACTGGGGACCCATGCTCCTACTTTCACCAGAAGGACTGTCATTGCCAAGGACAACGTAAAATGCCATGATCGACTGAGGTTCTTCATCCGTAAACTTCTGCCTCATCAATGCGCTCAAGGCCTTAGTTGTTGAATGACAGCAATGGAGACTTTTGAGCCGCTACTAGCAACATTGAAATTATATCTCAGCAGCCAACAGGAAAAACGAACGAATTTACACATCTCTCGTTCACTGACTGCCTTTCAGCCCCGCAAGGTGACTGAAACATCACAGTCCTCCATAAGGTCGTTGTTTTGTTTGTCCTCACCGAGATCCGCCCAACACGTCCACTAAGTCGAGCTTCATCTGGCAGAAAGGCAGAAAACGTGTGGCGAGTTCATAGGGTCTGTGAAGAAAGTAACGAGTATCACTATCTAATAAGTACAATAGAGGCTTCTTCCCGCCTGGAACTGGGAAGTATTTACTCACATCCTTCCGTTTCGGCAGTCACGAGTGGCAGCCCTCCACAGTGTTCGTGTGCTGCTGGCCTATTGCGTTTGCGGGCAGGCAGATCGTTTGTATTCTGTACGTCACAGGACGTGGCACTTCTGATCAACATGTTCGTCTCAGGCTGCCGCCGATTGTGCTTACATTCCTAAGGCCGTGGCTATTCTTTAAGTTATGAAATTTACTTACTCCCAAGAGTCTGAACGAGAGGACAATGTGTCACACCGTCGTCAGCACGTTTAACTTTTTGGACTTGTCGCAGACTGCGACTAGGCAATGGACTTAACAACATTTCATGTCTGCTTAAGTACTCCTTAGTAGTGCCAAATACTGCGTCGGACGTGAAAAGAATCCACTTTTGCTGATGCTGAAAATCTCCCTGTTTAGTGGATGTATGAGACCATTCTTACCATCTGTAACCGCTGTCTGACTATTTGAGCTAAAACGTACTCACCCGCAGCCCCAGGACTTTAGGTCCAAGTCGGGACGCCGTAGTTGACAGTTCATTGAATATTAAATATGGCTGTGAGGATGGATTTCTCCTCATCTACAACAACTGCCCCAAATGGTCGTTCAGCATGCTCTACGACCTTCTTACAGTTCTTTAAAGGTGGAGTTGTTGTCGTAATCATGGATGACATCGTGCGAAAAGAGAAGTAGTTATAATGGTTTTAGCATTACATCATGACACATATCCGCCCGACAGTTTGCCGGCCGCAAAGAACGATGGCTACTGTTGTCCCCGGGGTTGCAACAGTGACTTATACTGGAATTTTCTATCATTACATGGGATATTTTCATTGCATTCACCCCACTTGCCATGCCCACAACCACTATACCCAAATGACAAGACGGAGTCAGGCGGAATAGTGAAGGGGCTTGACGCCATGCCCACCCTTAAAAATCCTGCGATGGTCCTCGACTCTCACGACCCATTCTTCAGGGGAATAATATCGGATTAAATGGTGCAGAGACTGGACATTTAGGCTCAAGGGAGAAAGAGCCGTTGGTTGGCAGCTTTCCGAGCCACGACCTTTGGCACGTTTTAGTGCTTTTAAAGGGCATTTTCTCACTAATATTGGGGAAACGAGGTGACAAATTCGGGTTGACCCGTTATAAATTCTCTCCCCTCTTCCCCTACTAGTGGTAAAACGTCTGGGTGGAGCCGACTGTCTGCCAAATTGGGCGTGATGACTAACGTAGCATAAAACCCCTTGCCTGAGGCGCACTACGTGCAAAATATACGCAGAGCAGAGTCATGGGCAACTGCCTGCGTAACCTTTGCGCAATGCGCAGAGCTAAAGTCAGTGAAAATACTAGCAAAAAATGGTAGATCATTTTAGTAGGTTGTGGGTGGGTAAGGCTGAAGTGGCTATTTTTGGCGGTTTGCATCAAATGTGTGTCTGTAATCTCGCTTTGACATAAAGATGTCACCTTGCAAGTTGACGCGCAGGTCTTTTAAAGAACAAAACGCAAGGGCTCCTCCGCATTTTCGGCAGAGGACTAACGTTTAATACCCTTCTGTCCATGTCATTTTGTATTGCTTGCAGTTTTTGCGTAAAGCAATCTTGTCTACCTTCTTCAAATGATTCATTTTTGTAGGAATTCGGTAGCAATCGTTCTTCGAACAAAAGCCATCGTCCGTGTCCAGGCAATTATAAGTAAGTGACAAATAAAACATCAAGCATGTTCTTTTACAATTATTCATAATTGTGTGTATAGCTCCTTCTTAATGGACCTCCATGGCACTCCTATTCAGAGGGGTCCGAGCCGACACCCTCTTCCCTTGTTGTGTAAAATCCTAGTCAGCGCACGTTGTGGACCATGGAGTGTGGCAGTACGCTTGGGTGCGGTTTTTGTCCTGCCGGCCACCTGCGCCCTCTCCCGCCTCCGATCTGCTTGTCTCTGTCTTGACACCGTCACTAAGTGGGGAGGAGGAGAGAGCACGGTGTATGCAACGAAGGTCACTATCATTTTAAACTAACTCCCGCGCAAGTCGTCGTTCCTGCTCTCACCCTGCTCAGGAGCACACGGTGAACATCGTCGGTCACGACAGCGAGCCCTAGTGTCGTCTGTATGTATCTGTGTGTTTACCCCTAAAACGCCGCCATCGACCGACTCCCCCAAGTGGAAATCAACATCGACCCGGGTCTTCCACTATCCCAAAAGCCGTCCGCACCATGCAACAACTCTCCAGCGGGAAGGCACCCGATCCCAGTTTGAATCTACAAGCACGGCGGTCACCGACTGATTGACCAACTCGCAGCTCTATTTCAGGAGATGCAGCGCTGCGGTAAGGTTCCTCCGGATTTCAAGGACGCGACCATGGTTAACCTCTTCAGGCGGAAAAGTAACTAGGAACTCTGTGACAATCACAGAGGCATCTCGCTACTCAAGATCGTCGGAAAGATCTTCGCCCGAATACTCTTCCATCGTCTCAACGGCCATCTAGAGCAGGGACTGCTGTCGTAAAGCCAGTGTGGATTCTGACAAACACCGCAAAATCACTGATGTGATTTTTGCCGTCCGCCAGCTACACGAGAAGTGCTAGGAGATGTGGACTCCCGTCTACACCATATTCATGGACCCGACAAAAGCCTTTGACGCGGTGAATCGCGAAAGAGTGTGGAAAACCATGCAGAAGTTCGGCTGCCCTGAACAATTCGTGCACATGGTACGTCAGCTCCACAACGGGATGATGGTGTGCGTCACGGACAACGGCGCAGTCTCCGAGGCATTCGGAGTGACCGATCGAATGAAATAGGGGGTGCCTACTCGCCGACCCTCTTCAGTCCCATGTTTTCTGTCATGCTGATGGACGCCTGCAGTGATGAGCGTCCCGGGATCCGCATCACCTACAGGACCGACGGGCACCTTTTCAATACCCGACGAATACGGGCCCTGACACGTCTCTCCATAAATACTATTCAGGATCTGCTCTTCGCTGTATGACCGAAGAGGACATGCAACGGAGAATGGACTCCTTCGCCTCCGGCTGCGTCCACTTCGGACTGATCATCAATAGGACAACATTGTGATCATGCATCAACAGCCACCGAACGGTGAATATAGTGTCCCCCGCATCCGCACCAAATTGAAGATGTACAAGGCCATCATCCCGACGACACTTCTATAGGGAGCGGAGACCGGACCGTCTACTACAGCCATGCCAGGAAGCTGAACTACTTCCATCTCAGCTGCCTTCGCAGAATACTAAAGCCGAGATGACAAGAGAGGATCGTCGACACGGAAGTCCTAGAACGAACCTGGATTTCCTGCATTCTCTTCATGTTTTGGAAACTACAACTGCGTCAGAGCGACCGTACGGTGATGATGGAAGATACACGACTACCAAAAGAACTCTTCTATGGTAATGTCGCCACGAGCACTCATCAGCAAGGAGGACAAAACCGGCGCTACAAAAATACCTTGAAAAATCTTCGAAACAACTGCAGACCAACCCGAAGACCTGGAAGGATCTCGCCCAGAACAGACCGGCACGAAGAAGGAAAGAGAAGCCAGGCGCAGCCATCTACGAATCCACTTGGATCGCCACCGTCAAAGCTAAAAGGGAGGCCCGCAAGTCACAAATGCCTCCACTTCTCAATGCCAGCCGTCAGCAACTTACAACATTCTCGCGCTGCCAGCGCACATTCTGCGCGCGCGAATCGGTCTCTTCGGACACTTTCGGACACAATGCAACAACAGTCCGGCAACACCAACTTCACCTCCCATCCTCGCCCCCTGTCGCAAGACTCGCAACCACTACCACGCCCGTCATCGGCGATTACACTTTTGATGACCCGCGGCCATCCATCACCGACATCATCCGCCCTGTCTCAACCCCTGCGTCGGTCACAGCGACCAGCGCCGCCAACACCACAACACCTCACACTCTCCACCAATGGGACGACATCCGATGCCCCGTTATTCACTATCATCACTACCGGCATAACCTACAGCAATGTGGACTCGGTTCCAACCTGTCCTCATTGCGATCGCATATTCGCTTCCCATCGCACGGAGACTGGCGAACCAGTGTCTGGAGCACTCACATGAGCTCGCCGCATCCGCCTCCATTGTCCACACTGCCCACGCACATTCACTCACCGCATGGGCCTACTCGGTCACATGAGTATCCATGACAGAAGGCTGCCGACGACGCCTCGACTCAGTCCACGCAGTCTGCCCAGTTGCGTGTGCTTGTGTGGGGTGGCGGAATGGTGAGCTGAGAGTCAGGCTGTAACGGCTCCTTCGTAAGATGACCTCAGGCACTGTCAAGCAAGTGAAGAGTGTGTGTAGGAGTATATGGGTAGTGCCTCTCAGTCAACGACCGACTGCTTACCTGGCCTTTGAAGGGTGATAACCCAGGATAAATGCAGAGCTGCGTCTCACCCTGCTGGGCTTAAAGGATTGTGTTCGCTTGCTATGCCATGATTCGGCAAACCATGGCCCTTGCAGCTTCGTATGCGCTGACGGTTCTATGGCATTAGGTTTCCTGGCAGTAGACGCGCTTGCTCTCCCGCTGGATATCCAGGTTATGTGCATGGTTGTCCAGTGACTCCTGTCGTCCTTCTCTTTTTGATCCATTTTTTGTTGGTTTAAATCCTGATCAAGTGTTTTTTGTGGAACAGGGGGGTGTGGTAGTACGCCTGAATGCGGATCCCGTCGTGTCAGTCACCTGCGCCCTCCCCCCGCCTCCGGTCTTCTTGGCACAACTCTTAGCGTTCCGTGATCGTCTGAAAACACGCCAAATTTATCATAGGGAGGAGAGCTCCGATGTGCCGTGGAGATAAATTTCCCGGTATTGGCCTCTCTCTATCTCGCTATCCTCTCACATGCACCAGTTGGCAGCTCTTGCCTGTCAACCAATGGCTGATAACAGTAGGCGTGAAGGCCACACAAATGGGGTTGCCATAAAGAGCTCAATAATAGGAAGACACTGCGGTCTCATCCCCAACCATGTATACGACTGAGTTGCACCGTCAGTTGGGAAACTTCCAAGTCACAGAAGTTATCGTGTCAGCAGTATTGCGATGAGGAATTCACTGACTTGCTATGAGGATGGATTCCCCAGGATGAATCTCACTCGTTCCCCTCTTCCCCACACTTCACTGCCCGGTCGGAGCCTTTCAGCTGACTGGTCTTGAGATTGGGCGGTGTTACTGGCGTGAGGTAGGCCTCCGCCTACCGCATGCGGTGCATACACAAATGAAAAAATAATGTTTCTCACTATTATTACAGACATTGACGAGCATCACTGCAAGGTTAATGTGCGAAAGAGGAATGGCCCTTTTGCGTGTGCGCGTGACCAAAAAGACAAGCGCGTAAGTAAGTGCGCAGCGACGGTGTGCGCCTGGATGATGGGTGATGTTTTATCGATCGTTATACCGCATGTACATAAGACTGAATGGGTCCACGAGGCGACCGTACTTGCGCATGTGGTGTGGGCAGGGGACTCATGAGTGGCAGAGTTTTGAATGAAGGTGGGCGATGGGTTTAGGGACTATAAAAGCTGAACAGCCAATCTACGTGTGTCACACCGCAACTTTTGGTTGTTTCCTATGTCTTCCAGACGTGTGTAAGTATTTCCAAAGTACATTAGTTAGTTCGACGTCATTTGAGTGGGGTTATCGACATGTCCTTGCGGCGTCGTTCTTCTTCACTGCATTTACGAAGGCATCTAACGCCGTTTCCGAAAGCATTCGCTTCAGCATGTGATGATCAGTCATTTTCATATGTTACCGTTTGGTCTCATTTAGACCTGATTCAGCATACCGGCCACCTCTAGCACCTGGATGTTTGAGGCCTATTCCTGTCACATCACCTGTAATATCCTTCGAAGACACCATATGCGGCAGTATTTGAACTTTCTCACTCGGCTTTGGTTGATTTCCAGGTCTCCGCAGCGCAGACTAATGTTGTTAGGATGACAACCCTGTACGCGTTAGGTTTCATGCCGCGGCACTTCCAGACTAAGTGTGGTAACCCGCTAAAAGCCTGGATATACACACACACACACACGGTGTGCTTTGTGATGTTAGCTTGTTTCGTGACTCAGCGAGCAGGGTCAAGTTTAACCCGCTTGAGAGCAGTGTAAATAAATGCGCCCTGCTTGTCTCTAAAGTCACTTTCAAGAGCTGCAGCGCACGCTCACAGGCGTGCGCTCTTAAAAGACCTGACCCACATGCCGACCCAACGGCGCAGAAGTTGAGCCGAGAAGTGGCTTCATCTACTAGCAGTGCTCACCCAGTGGCTTAACTTCAGAGAGGGTGGGGGTTCGCGTATAGTAGGCCTTCGTGGTGTCGTCGGGACGGCGCTCATGTCAAAATCGTGGTTTCTATGACTGCGGCAAAAGGTGTCAGCTCCTGTTAGGGGCATGGAAGTTGTGCTTGCTGATGCTGCTGCTGCTGCTGCTGTTGATGTCGGTGATGCTGCTGGTGATTCTGCTGTTACTGATGCCGTTGGCACCGCGTTTGTCTAGATGGCGCGCCGTGTGCGCCAAACGGATTGGCTTGTAGCCGCGTGGGTTACAGCAGCCCCGAGTGATCGATATTCGCTTGCACGCACACAAACGCGCACAAAAAAAACAACGGAACTGACGGTGTGCAATTTCGCGCGCTTGTAAACGCGTGCAGTTTGCTCACGAGCTTCGGTCGGCAAGCGTTCGTCACTGTAAGGCAAGATCAGACGCGACTTTCGGGAGGGAAGACTTCCCGTAGTCTCCGCTATCTAACAACAGCCCGCACATCGCCGTGAATTAATTTCGCGATAGACGCAGAGGGTTGGGATTGAGAAGACGTAGCCCTAGGAAATGCTTCGATTTTTAGCAAAAATATCGGTCACATGTGGTTATGTAGTCCATCTAAAGTAAACAAATCCCATTCGCCTGTAATACGGGACCTGTGGTGATAGGGCTTTTTTCAGGTGAGGCCGGAGAACGCACAGGCGACGAGATCAGGTGGTTGTATGCGGAAGAAAAGTTATTTGGAATGCGCGGCTGTTCTTTGAGTGGTTAAAAAATAGTTGCTCCAACCCTAACCCCAACCTTAACAGCATCCTGTCCATCAGGTGGGGCTACATAACCACATATTACCAAAATCTCTTTCATCTGACCCATTTGTGAAAAAATGCACGGCTTCGGTGGGATTCCAACCAACGACCTTACAGGCACATTAAGTTGAGCACCCAAGAAGGATTTCTTAAACAGTCAATTTAGAATCCACTAGATGACTACCAGGTTCACTCTCGATATTCGATTTCGTTCGATATTGATGGTCTTAATTTATCTTCTAGCTGTGTTGAGTTCCTTCGTGCCAATATAAAGGGCAGTTTCAACATGTTTACTCTAGCATCAGCGCTTATCTGTTATTTAACAAGATCATAGATCTTGGTATATACACTGATTGACCGATCTCATGAAATGTTGGCTGAAATTCTGAAATACGTTTTCGATTAGGAAGGATTACTTGGTCGCGGTTGTAATACTGAGTATCTTGCGGCATAACCTTATAAGATTTCGGACTCGGTAGGATGTCAGCTTTTGAATTCACTGCTTTTAAATCTCCCGTAGAAACCGTACTAGGTAAAAAATGGCTACTTATGTAGCATGTATTTTTCCCATTGATTTTCGATGGTCTTGCAAAATCAAATATATTTTATAGAAACCATAAACAAGAATATGCTTTCTTTTTGTCAATTAATAGAGAATCACGTCTTCTTTATATTTTATACTCAAGAAAGGAGTATAACTAGGTTTTAAAAAAGTTTCTAATTATGAGCTTTTTGAAGACCGCGCAAGGCCCATTCACATAGCATCGTACCTGTCCATCTACCATTGCTCGTCATGAAATGAACGACATAGTCCGCATCCATTGCAAAATTTTATGGACTATGTATGATATCTTTTTAATGACATAGAAAAGTATGTGATTTTTTATGCGGAACGCATGCACCTTGTAGGCTGAAATCAGTAAACGCTAGTGCGACGAATGATAAGGCTCCACATTATTCGGCCATTAGAAAACTTTTTAAAACCTAATTATACTCCTTTCTTGAGTATAAAATATAAAGAAGACGTGATCCTCTATTAATTGACAAAAAGAAAGCATATTCTTGTTTATGGTTTCTATAAAATATATTTGATTTTGCAAGACCATCGAAAATCAATGGGAAAAATGCATGCTGCATAAGTAGCCATTTTTTACCTAGTACGGTTTCTACAGGAGATCGAAAAGCAGTGTATTCAAAAGCTGACATCCTGCCGGGTCCGAAATCTTATAAGATTATGCCGCAAGGTAATCAGTATTATGACCGCGACCAAGTAATCCTTCCTAATCGAAAACGTATTTCAGAATTTCAGCCTCCTATGAAATCAGGTCACGCGTCAAAATCTACTAATATCACACATAAGAATGTGTAATTAGAACTCGGACTGTGGCTAACTGCAAGTTCCAATTTTATTTCCTCAAATGCATTTCGGTTGATATGTATTGATTGACCCATATATTACAGATATTCCAGACTGTGGAGCGTATAATCTTATTAATCAGACACGTTAAGTTAACCGGCGAGGCACATTTGAAAGACTTCGGTAGGGTTGCTAATGCTTACTTCAGAAAGAAGATATTTTGGGTGGCTTGGGTTTTTTTAATCTGATGAGGCGCTCCACTTGATCAAAACCTTAAAAGTATTGCATTTTTTGGAGCGTCGTTTGTATGTTATTTGCCCTCGTATTTGACGGCGGTTCAGACCGCCCATTAGCGGGCACGGGGACTACGTTTAAGATGAGAATAACCGCAGGAGGCGACTAAGTTTGAATATTTTGCGTTACGAACTTGGTCATATGTCGAGTAGTGTCCTAACATCGCCTCAACACGACTGCTTTGGTACTCAGTCATCCGCGTCTTACAGAAAACCTACATAAGCGCCGCAAAGTGCCGCACTCTGAGTGCATGTGGGATTTACACAATCCATATATTCTCGGAAGCCTAAACTGCGTTAAGTCCACACGAAGAACCTGTCCATGAGTGCGCATATATTCAGCGATTGTCTTCGTTAATCGACCTACATTTGACTGTTTTGTGCAAAACCTTAACCACCTAAGGCGCTTGTTGCACATATTGCGTGTTACTTTCTAAGCGTCGATGTAATTTCGTGGATCCAGGAATGATTCATGTTGGCGTTAGCTTGTCGCCATGGTGACTGACCAGGCCACTACACTTACGGTCATGAACAGGGTGTGGCCTGTGGGTTCTGTTCGAAATAGGCACGCGAGATGCATGGGTATCTTCTTTCCCAGGGACTGGAAAAGAATGCAATGCGCGACGGTGGTCGCGCAAGTACTTCACGAGAGTAGCAAAATTCTTTAAATTGCAAAACTTTCAACACGAAGACGATTGTAGACGGGTAGCAGACAGATGAACAGCAGAGCTTTGCACAGACTCCCTTAACTCATGTACAGCATAGTTCACATTTTATTTGCTGAAAGCAGTCTCTGATGATTTAAACAAAAAAGGTATTTGCCTTGATCGCATATTATGTGCATCTCTAACAATATACTCAAGAGAGAGGAGGGAAGACCTTGAAAATTCTGCATTCTAATTTTTTCGCCAAAAATCAGCTAATGTCAAATTTGTGCAGTGTCGAGCAGCCTCCCGAGCGTTATTTTTGTTGCGTACCTCAATAGGCGCGACAAAGATGATTTATTATTATTATTATTAATGAGTTAGTCATCAACAGGATTCGACAAAATAATTTTCTACTGTTTGTCTCTTTAACACATGAAGTCCATGCCTAAATCAACATCCTCATAAGCTCTGGCAAAAAGAACTCTGTCTTCCTCCATCTTCTTTTTTATATAGACAGCTCAGTATGCAAGTCTAAGTCTCAATTTCCCCTGATACTAAAACATAAGTTTATGGGGAAAATAACATTTGACCAATACAACCCAGTAATCATCAGCTTTCATCCCTATCAGCCAAATTTAATTTGGACGCTGGAACAGCTGGGATGCGTGTCTGTGAACTCACCCTCTAGGCAGATTGCACACCGTTTCCATCTAGCCCGGCATCCCGCGGCGCATTCTATCAATGAGTTATTGTGCCCTACTGTATGAAAACATATGTGACCTTGAACACACTTAGGGATCGTTTATGGCCCCATTCAGTGTTTCGTAGCTGCGCCGTTTCTGCTACTGCAGTCGACGTTCATTTTGGATATCAGAAGACACTGACAGTCCTGCGCCTATACTAAAATTAGGGAGTACTCCTATCCCATCAGATAGGGTACTAGGACCAGGTCTGTAACGCAACAGCCTTTCCACCTCAGACAAGAAGGCCTAAACCTGCTCTGGTTCTTGCTTCTTTGGTACTACGGAGCTTTTTTGCGAGGATGGAAGTGATGCCTCTTGCCGAATGTTGATCTACAGCTGACGACGAAAGCCCCGACAAGGGGGCAAAACTTTTAATCACAACGACGGGCCGTTGTAGATTTTTTTGCTCCTGGTTGCGTGTGTCGATGACTTTAGAATTATAGGCCCAGTTAGCAGTGTAATATCTAAAGTCTTGCTGTTCCCCCATAAGGGTAAAAAAAGAAATAACTTAGGCAACATCGCCACCAACCGCAACGCCTTTTGAGGGATCTCCAACCTATTTAGCAATTTTCGGAAAATGGCTGACGGATACATATGCATACTTTTCTCTGAGGCATTATTCAATCGTCTGACTTCTGTCAACTCTAATAAGATATCAAGTTAAATTTTATACACCTGCAAGTCATTTACCCTCAAGCATTTTTCATCCATTGTTCTGTACTTACCTCCCTGACAACATTAGCAAAGGTCGTCTATTATAACTGTATAGTGCACCTTTTGAATTTTTTCGCCTTGTTATTCCTAGATAAGTTGTACTCTTCATCTGGTCAGGAACTGAGGCGAGCCCTCTTCTCTCTGAAGCAAATATTTCAGGTAAGCTTATTCTATTACTGAACCATCGATATGCTACATAGCACCTCTTACACATTTAAATTACTGGAACCATCATCACTCAATCCAAGTGCTTACTTATTTTAAGTCACTGGCATACGTTTTTATACTTAAAACACAATTTCTTTGACTAGCAGCCTCAAGAGGTTTTTAAATAAAAAGATACATTTTTGGTGAAAGATACTTCAGTGAAAGGTCGAAAGCTCTCTCAGCGTAGTTAACAGGACAGTTTTATTAAATTTGCCTTTTCTGTTTTTATGTGTTTATTCCAAGGAATTTCTGCACGACTCTCAGAGTGAACACCCAGAAAGCTTTTTTCATACATTATCGGGTGTCTAGGCTGATGAAATATCTGTACTCGCTTTAAATCACGACTTACTGTGCAAAATGTCAATTATTACCTGTCATTTATCACCAAGAAGTCAATCAAGCTATGTTTGCCATAATGTACTATGACTTTTGTTCTGTTTGAGGCAAAGTAAAATCTAAAAACCTACCGGCATCTCAGACCAAACACCCAAAGGTAGATAACGGATGGGCAGTTGCTAGGACGACCAGGTGGAAAGTATTCGGTGTTTTATTCTGAACCTTCCACAGTATGTAGACGACTTCGATCTGACGGTGTAGTCACTAAAAAGTAAGACTGACAGCTGATTGGTAGACTGTTGTCCCGGTCTGTCCCGCGTCAAGGCATTATTAAAAAGTGGAAAGAGGGAGGGACATCTGACGGATGCTTGTGGACGCTGAAGAGAACAAGCCGCAAACCAAGGTATTTAATTGCCTGGCCGAGCGATGAAGGGGAGCAGATCGGTTCGGTCAGACAGAATCCAATGATGAAGTTTAGAAGCTGGTTGTGAGCAGTAGAATGAGTGCTGTAAGGACTGCGTTATATTTTCCTAACCCTTCCGGATTAGTCGATTCTGTCCACCCGTATCACGCGGAAGTTTCCTCGTTGTTTCAAAACATAACTGTTTTTGGCAGTGTCGATGACTTGCATTCGCACTAAGTGAGGGTTGCACAACTTCATCTGTCATGTCCCATCAGCCAGCCCTCAGCAGATTTGCGTTGCAATGCTGAAGCAATAAACGGTGGAGGAAATTGCGCTCAGTGACTTACCCGGAAGTTATTGCATTTAAGCCTAGTTTGACGCGTCGGTGAAACGGACTTTACACACCATGATAGTCACAATCATGAAAGTTTATTGCGTGGACATCTCCACGGCCTACAATGCCCCCAACATACAGGTATGTATACCATGCACGGTGCCAATAGTGAATTGAATTCTCGAAAGTCAGTGTCCACAGTCAGGAACAAGATATCGGAATTGCAGGCGACTCATCACTGAGTCCCAAACTTCATGGGCAAAAAAAGAGTCTGCCCTCAAACGGAACCTCTATCATAACATTTCGGTGTGCGAAAAATTGAAAGAAATATGTCTTCAAGTTAGAAATACATTGATCAGAAGTTGATGTTTCTTCAACTTTCGAGTTCGAAAGGCCATATAATGAAAACGCTTTAATAGGCGAATCGAGCGGTGAAGAACTGCAAAAAGAAATAGTGGACGGCGGCTGGGTTCGCAAGATTGATCTCTTAGCTGATATTTCCAAGACACGTCCTTCGTTTAGGGAAACATTTTAATAGAAATGACGCAGCGAAAGAATTGGAAGGGTTCTTAACGTGAAAGACTGCGACTCAGAATCCCCACTCAAATTAACTCAGAAATTTTGCTTTTGGTCAAAAATAAGTGCAAACCTGTTGGCCGAACCCCAACACGAGGGAAAAGCCAGGAACGTCTCCCCTGGCCTTAACATTAAGCCAAATGTTTGTCGGCTCATCTGCGACGGCCAGACCTTTCCACGAAAGAGACCTAAGACTGCAGATAGTGTTCTACCGAAAGTACCTTCGCGCATGCACTGTTACCTCACAGACTTCATCTGATTTATCCTTCTGCCGCCATCGATGGCAGCCACTCAGGCTTGCTTAAGAATCTTGAATAATTGAAACGCAATGATAAGGAGGTGCGTGGAGTTTAACGACTGGACGTGTTTTCAAACTGCATAATAGCCAGCGGGACCTCAAAGTTCTTAGTACCGTACATAATCTGACGACAGGTTGGAGCCCGTGAGAGTAAAGTCCTCTTCACCCCGACGGGGCTGTAAACTTCATTCTATTCTGACTCTCAGTGTTCAAGTATGAACCTACCTTTGTCTCAACAATGTGTGCCACATTCTTTGGATGCCGACTGGGTTGAGTGTCTTTTTGGATGATCCTTGAGTCAAGAGATCAAGCCCCCATTTTCCTGAATTTCTGCTCATGCATATTACAAGGCTGTGAATATACTCTATCAAAAACACTGCTTATTTCGCTGTGTGTATGCTTTTAAATTTAGGAGGGCTCTTTTTAACCACCCATTACATCTGCTTTGCATTCACTCTTTTAGAATGACAAGGATCTTGTGCACGAATTTGTCACCCATTCAGGCCTGAACTGCCTAGTGACGATCGGTTCCAAGTCAGACCAAACCCATCAAAACTATATTCTTCGAGGTAATTTCCTATGCGGCTCAAATATCATCCTTGTGCGATATTAAAATTTGACCTGCACCAAGTTATGCAGTTAAGATTCTTTGCTTCCTTGTTGTCCTCGCCAGAACTTAATGTTCGCAGGTTCCTGAAGTTGAGAAGCAAAGGTGTGAAATCTCTGCCAATAGGTGAAACTGAATCTGGAGCTTCTTTGTTTACTCTATAATCCAATGTGGAGTTTTTCGGTAGAACTGATATTGGGACCTCCGTTCCTATATTAAAACTTTGTTGCTCACTAAAAATGGTCAGCAGTCAGTCTTGAGCCTGAGACGGCTCTTACCGAGTAGCATTGTCTTTACTGACAATGTTTGCTAAAGAATCACAAATTAGTTTCTAAGTTGACGCGGCCCCTTGCTCGGAGTTCTGCTCAACGACCATTTTTCCGTATTATCATAAAAGTTTCCCCCCACTTCTACCCCCACTTTTTTAGCATCTGTATGCTACGATAAGTTGGGGTTTGTGCTATGGCTCCCATTAAGGCATTTTTCGAGGTTCAAGCATCACGTTTTGAAAAAGACTAATATTATTTGTCATTTCAAGGCTTTCCATAAAAACTCCATGACCCTGATGCTAGTGGAAGTATCTACTATCTTGTCAAACGTTAACATGGACTCCGTTTACCAATTTATTCAGATCTATACTCAATATGCTTGGACTAACCTGTGATGTTTGATTACGAAAATAAACGCGATCCGCCTGAATCTAATTTTTCCAAGGAAACACTTCTTCAGCGTTTAAAGGGGATAAGTTCTATGAGCGTTTTTAGAGACTTCTTTTAGCTGCAACAAACAGCAAACAACAAGGACTTCACAAAAATTAAACGGCTGCTTTCTTTCATAGAAGACTAATGCCTAATCCTTGACAGAAGGGGAGAGGAAATGTGAAATAATCTATTCGTTTGCAAAAGTGGATGGGCACCTGCTTGCTCAGAAACACTTGGAAAGTATTACTGGCTCATTAACCGTCATCAGCAGGCTATAGCACAACCCAGGTATGGAGACCTGACTGCTCGGCTGGCCATTGCCAAACTCTGTTCTATTGAACAAATCGTTTACTGGTTGTTGGCCGGTACCGGACCACCTCCGAGGACTCTGAACCGACGCGCCACGGCAACGCGGAATTACCTAGTCCCGTTCTGCAATCTGGACGTATCATCAACGTCGTTGCCACATCGCTCAGAAATAAGTTTAACCATTTGTCGTTTGCGATTCCCTTATCCACTGGAATTATGCGAGTTATGGAACTTTAAAGCGATGCAAATTTAAAAAATATATGCGTTCAGTTTCAGCATTGTTCGTGCTTTGAACCTTTTCTTGGGAAAAGAGGATTACATTATATCAAAAGCAGGAGCTCCTGTCTATTACTCACCGGTCCTAGTGGGAAAACTATACTAAAAGTGACGTTATTATCACTATTAGTAATAGTAAATCCTAATGAATCCGTCTCTTCAATGTAATGTCTATCTCGTTTGTCCCTTCGACCTATTGTCGCGAAGCTTTTGACATGAAAGACAAAATATCAATTGACGCTGCGCAGAGTCAACATTTATAATAGTAGAATTTCTAGAATTCTTAGTAAGTTATAAGTAAATAAGTCTTCCTATCTGGTAATGGGCATTTTTCACTTGGCTCAGCTGCAGGCAGGAGCGTGTCCGCTTTTGTCTACCTCGGAGTTCAGGATAGGTCCACCGGGTTCAGGTACCGTAGCACTGAGACCTAGTTTTGAGACTTGGCTACTTGCAGATGTCACGTAACTCATGAACGGCCACTTTAACACCCATAGCTTTTGATATACACGTTGTTTAATTGATCGCCTAATTAAACTTCTCTTAGGAGGTCGCATTTGTTGGGCTGTCGTGGGCAAACAGTTCAAGCAGAGTCCAAATTTCAGAGACTAGCAGGAGTGATCGCCAATTTGCTAACCTGCTAGTCACTTTTAACTGCTTGAAACACTGCGAAAAATGAAAAACTCCTGAGAAATTAATCTAGGAATCATGCATTAATAACTACGAGAGTGCAGCGTGCGTGACAATTTGACCATAAAACCGTTGTTTTTATAAGTCGTATTATGGTTTTCTCTCGAAAAAACGCCAACGCTAACGATATATTTAGTGTTACATTGCATAAGGATGCAGTGTCAACTTTATTTTTCTTTGGCTGCTCTGTGGATTGAGACGATGGGGAATATTATATACGAGTTTTTCAGTGTTGATGGAAGAATAGAGGGATGTTAAAGAAAGGGATAAAAATATGATTCCAAAGAGAAAGCTACGACTGTAACCGTCGTTGTGGTTTTCCTGAACATAGAAGTTTGACTTCTGTGTCGTAATTAACACTTTTACACAAAAAACGATGAGACGTCGACGCCATCTGGACGCTTTTCAATATCTCCCTATCGGCTTTAGGTGGGCATCTTGCAATGCTTTCGAAATATTACAGCCGAATCGTTCAACCGAACCGTATTGGGCGTTACCGCGACCTTTACGGCTAAACATTGGCTAGGTACCTGCTTTTACAATTGACACCAGCGTGCGGCACCACAGATTTGCACATTTCGCTGCAAAACACCGTAACCATACTTAGTGTTTTTTCGTGCATGTTTTTCTTTTTCATCTTACCCCTGTATTAATGAGTCGGCTGTTGACTGTTCGTAAAAATATCGCTTAAGCCACCAAGCGCTTCTTGGGAAGCCATAGTTGAGAACCGATTTTGGTCTACAGCTAATGTCGAAACTTTATTCGGCGAGGTTTGGTTCTGCAGCCCCTTTTGATTTATACTATATGGTTAGCTTTCTAAAACAATCTTGGTAGATGGGAGTACTCTGGCTTTACAAATACCACGTGTTTGCACCTTCCTTACCACTTTAATACAGCGAGTGACTATGCCACGGGGGAGGAGTCCTTATACGCCATCCGCGGTTACATCAGCTATCAGTTCCTACGCGCTTTCCTACGCGTGCTTCGAGCCCTACTTGCGCCTTCTTTCTTATACGTATCCAGAGAGGGGCTAAGTAGGCTCGCTGATGGAACTGTTCGGACGGACTAGAACTCCGTCGGTTCCAATACAATGGCCATGCACCGCGAATTACCACGCGGTACCCCCTGTGACCTTTCAGTTATGATTGCATCCTCCTTATACTACTAACCCAGCAAGTGGCTGTGTCGCGGGAAGAATGTGTATACGTTATCACGCCCTTCCCTGAGCGTGCTTCAAGCTCTGCTTACGCTCTCTTTCCCTTCCTAATCCTGCGAGTGGCTTAATTAGGTATGTTTATGAATATTGTTTTAGTAAGCTAGCCACATGCTGTCAATCGAGTGGGTCTGTAGAATGAAACCTCGCCCTTCATGCTTCCCTACTTGAGCGGGAAATGACATGAGTGTCCTATTCCAAGTGTGGTCTTAATGGCGCACCTTACGCGTGTGGGATCCTAGTTGAACTGCTACAGGTCTTAGGTGGCGGCTGCAGATCGCATAAAAATCTACGCCGGCCGTCATTTAGCGCCGGCTAGGTTCGAAAAATGCCCCCTGGACCATGAGCAAAAAGCAGGAACGAAATTCATTCAGCCCGAATGGAGTAGTTAAGTTCCTCAGTAAAAACGACCAATCCAACCTCCAAATTCCCACGGCGCGCAAAGATTCGTGGCTTGGAAGGTTGTCACCCAGCGGGATAATCCAGTCCTCCTCCATTCTTGGGGGGCCGGGCTGTAGCGGCCCCTCTTAATATGGCCTCATTGACACTTCCGCTTATGTGAGATCTGAGACCGCCCCATTGAGGTCTGGGCTGTGTGTAACTAGGAGTAAGGTCGTATGTGTCACGCGCGAGAGGGCTATTCAATTTTATCGGACCCTGCGTCTACGTCCGTGTCCGACCGCCTTGACGTTGTCTTGTCGTGGGACAACGATGGGCGGAGTAGGAGTTGGGTGATGTAGTTACATCGCAAGTCCGCCGCGTTATAGAAGACTTCACGCGCAAGTGGTCGCTGCATCTCTTCGTAGACAGTGAGAGTCCTCCCTATTTACGACCAACGAAATGCCAATGAGTGTGTTTGGCTCCTGCTGCCCTTGGGTTTCCCGCCCACCAATCATGTTCATTGCCGACTTTTCGTTTTTTAAAAATAATTCGCATAATTGTGATGGTGCCTGCGTGGGCCTCTTCCCCTGCAATACCTATGTACATAAATATATGTTGGGCAAAAAGAGCAGCAGAACTTATCAGCCGATAAGTGCCACATTTTCTCTGAATACGTTTATTGGCTTTTTTAGCTTTGGGGCAGCTTATCCTCTACGTGGATGGAATGAGGGGCGTAAGCGAGCATCCAGATACTATTCGGTGGCTTTATTCTCTCCTCTCCTGCAAGGTAAATACTGGATGACTTTTTTTGCTCCCTCTCCAAACCTTCCTTCTTCCAGTTCAGAGAACTAGTTACAATAATTATAAAAAATATTCTTCTCCATCTAGCATATCAGTAGAAGCAATGATTCCTAGTGACTGGGATCGATTTGGCTGTGGGTTTCTAGGTTTGGCCACGGATCTAACAGCGGGCTGTATGGTGCTTGTTCAGATGGTCTGAGCACAGGGCTAGGTAAACGGCGTATGAGATGGAGATCACGGGCATGATATCGTCAGGTCGCATAACTTGTAGATCTAAGATTGTGCTCCGTCCCGTGCTTTTACAAGAAATCGGAAATTCAGACAGTCATGCCTTTATTTCGACAGCGTCTAGGTTTTGGCTTGAGGTAATAGAAGATGCAACTGTCTGGCTTGTTGAAAAAGGCCTGCACTCTCCAGATGGCTATAACAGCGGTTCGCTCCCTCCTTCTACTTGTCCTCCTCCTCCTACCCCTCCTCCACTTCTTCTTCTTCTTCCGAGGAGAAGGAGGAGTTTCATAAAACTGGAATTCGCATTCCGTGTGTACTACTCTTCATATATTTGCCTTGGCTACTCAGTCATGCAGATTCGGTCCTCGGAGTGCGTATACCAAAGTGTGAACGTCGTAGAACATAAAACTTTTGATATTTAATGTTGAAACATGACCGGAATGCTGGAATATATTTAGAAAATGTAATCATACGCGTGCTATCTTCTATGTATTGGGCGAATGTTTTTCTCGTAAAAGTACACTGTGCTTTCTGGCGGCGCTAAATGTACAAGAGTCCTCATCTTGTCACCACACAAACTTGGTCTAGCTGACAGGGTAGTTAATAGCAGCCATCGTGGAATGTTGGTGAGGGTGAGTGAATTCCATCTGTCCTTGTTTACTTCTGCCAACTTCAATATGCGCCCGGGAAGTCTAAATTGTGTCTCGCACGCGATTATCTCCGCATCCATCCTTAACATCTATGGCTTGTAGAAGTCCGACCAGGAGATGTAAATGCAACCGGTCGTCATGTGTCACTGTGCAACTGCCTGCAAACCACTGAATCTCTGGTCATTTAATCTACTCTCAAAAAACGTGTTTTGTTACCGTCTTTCTATGTGATGCCATTGCCGTAAAATCTAACAAATACTCTGCGTCTGTCCTTTTAGCAGTTTCGTCACAACTATTGCACACTATTAATATTAAAGTACTTCGTTGACTTTTGGCCACCAGTGTGTCTCAAATACTCACAGAATACGGGAGTACCGAGTCCCCCTAGTCCACACAGCCAATGATCAGGATTTTGACCAACGGCAAAAGGGACTGGCACGGCCGAAGTCGTCCCTAGGCATGCCGTCGCATCTGGCTCGGGCCCGACAGAGTGAGTGGGTCATAAAGGCTACATTAAGGAGACGCAATTGCAGCCTGACTCTTAGACCACCACTCTGCCGCTCCACATAAACACACAACGCTGGGCCGACTGCGAGGCCCAAGTTATCCCGTCAATTTGCAACCTTCCAAGCCGAGGATTTTAGCGCACCGTAATGGCTTCAAGCGCGTCGGACTGTTTGTAGTGAGGAAGATGCGCTGAGCCGTCGACCTCACGCTCCCGTTCCATTACCAGGCCCCAGTCACTGTTCAGGCCGGACAATTGACAGGAGAGAGGGATGGGCGCGGTGGCTGACATATCTAGTGACATTGTCTGCGGGCGCCACATGCATGAACTGGCCCCCCGAACATAACCACTAGGGCTTCACGCAACGGGGGTTGGGCGGCATACATCTTAAATGCGTGGGAGTGCGACAGGTCCACCAGTCCGCCACTCCAAACAGACAGAAACACAACTGGACAGACTGCGTGGACTGAATTGAGGTGCCAGTCAGCAGCCTTCCAAGCCACGGCGCTTGGCGCCTCGTGATAGCCTCAGACTTGAATCACACATACATCAGAGGAGCCGCATGGAGGCGGAGTCGAGACGCACACTTCCTACTTGCGTGGGAGATGGCAGTTGGATGCTCGTGGTAGGTGATAATATTGTGTGATGTAGGTGTAGGAAGATCTGGTGGTGTGGTTTAGCCGGTGTTTATACACTGCAGGTTTTTTGAATGTGCATGTGGCCTAGAAAGCTCATGAAGCGGGTTTTCCAGGCACTAGCTAGACAGTCTCTGTGCGATGGATCCGCAAGTGACCGATCAGGCCGATGTGTGAAGTAAAGGTGCGATCACAATGGGGACAGTTATTGACCGAGTCCACGTCGCTGGTGTTGGCAATGATGAGGTTGACGTTTGTCGTTGTGTTGGGATTAACTGCAGTGGTGGTGGGCTCAGGAGGCGTCGCAGCGGATGTTGGGGCGATGGAGGAGGATGGCAGTGAGGGTTCAGGCATACGGTCAGTGTTGATTACGGGCGCAGGGGACGAGTCAGAGGTGGACGGGGGACATCGAGTGGTGTCGTCCGGGTGCTGCAATTAGTACGAAGATGTAAAATGAGGCCAATCGGTGCCCGGAACGTCTGCTGGCATCATGCACACGACAGGGACGTTTGCTTATTGCTGTTTGCTAGGCGGGGCAGTGGGATTAACGAGCTTCGTGTTTGGTTTTGGCAGCGGTGATCCGGTTAGATTCGTAGATTGCTGCCGGTCTTCGCTGCTCTCTGCTAAGTCGGTCAGTCACGGGCGAGGTCTTCTCAGTTGGCCGGATTGATTTTCTGGCGCCTCAGGGAAGTCTTCAGGGTATTCCCTGTGGCGGCGGACTTGTATTCCTTTCGGTGGGAACTCGTGATGACATCTCCATAAAAGAGTCGTTTGGGTAACCGCTTGTCGTCCATGCGCACCAGATGGCCGCCTCAGCACAGTTGCAGTTGTCTCAGCCTGGCGTAGATGTTGAGGATTCCCGTCCGTCCCAGTACGTCCATGTCCGAGATCCGGTTCTACCACCTCAGTTTTAGTATCCGCCGGAGGGAGCTGAGGTGGAAATGGTTGGGTATTTTTGCCTGCTTTTTGTACATCGTCCAAGTCTCCGCTCGATACGGCAGCGTTGACAGGATGACCGTCTTGTACAACTTCAGTTTGGTGGGGACCGTATCGATTCCAAACGGTGTCTTGCAGACGGCAAAAGACTTGGCTGGCCTTGAAAACCCGACGGGCCACTTCATCGTCGATTTTAGTGTTGCGAGAGATGGTGCTGTTCAGGTAGGTGAAGTTGTCCACGGCTGGCAGTTGGGCTCCATTAACGTTGATTTGGGTACGACGTAGGCAGCGTCGGATCGCGTTTTCTCCGGTGGCGGAGAGGTCCATGCTTCTTTGCGTGTCCCCTTTAGAGATGACTTTGAGTGCGCAATCGTTGGCAAAAACGTTCATGGACGGAATTTGCTGATGCAGGCGACTGGAAGTGCATCCACTGCTAATTGAAGAGTTGACTGGCTGTCCTGTAGGCCATGCGGATCCCGGGACACTCGTCGCGGTAGGCGTCCATCAGCATGACAGGGAACAAGATACTGAGGTAAGTAGGCTCGAGGACGCAGCTCGACTTCACTCCGCTGGTCGCTGCGAATGCGTCTGATACGACTCCATCGTCCATTACGCGCGCCGTCACGTCATCGTGGAGCTGACGCGCCATCTGAGTGAATCGCTCTGGACAGCCGAATTTGTAAATGATTTTCCACGTTCTTCCGCAATTCACCTTACCGAAGGCTTTCATCGGATTCACAAAGGTCGAATAGAGGTGGATCCGCATCTCCTGGCACTTCCCCTCAAGTTAGCGGGCGACGAAGAGCATGTCTGTGGTTCCTCGATGACGGCGGAAGCCGCAATGATAGGAGACCCTGCTCCAGATAGTTCAAACGGATGAGAAAAATGCGAGCGAACGTTTTCCCGACGGTTTTGTAGAGGGAAGCGCCTCTGCGGTTGTCGCAGATTTGGCAGTTCCATTTCCGCCTGTAGAGGTGCATGATCGTGATGTCCTTGAAACCTTGATGGACTTCTCCTTGACGCCACATCTCCTGGACGAGCTCCATCAGATGATCCATGATTTGGGGGTCACAGCGCTTGTAGATCTCCGCAGGGATCGCGTCTGACCCGGCTCCTTCTGGCTGGAGAGCTGCTACACGACCCTAATGGTTTCGTGGAGAGATGGCGCGAGGTAGAGATCGGCGTTGATCTCCACCTGAGGCAGAAGGGCGATGGCGGTGTCGGAGATGTTGGAGGGACGGTTGAGGACGCTTCAGAAGTGCTCAGCCCACAGCTGTAAAATGTGTGTCTCCTCGGTGAGTAGGGTGTTTCCGTCGGCGCTGGAAAGGGGTGCAGTACCTTTGGTTGGCGGACCGTAGACAGATTTGATCGCAAAGAAGAAGTTCTTCCATTCGTCGCGGTCTTCGTACCCTTGGATCGCCTCGGCCTTGTGAGTAGTCCAGGCATTCCGCATTTCGCGCAGCCGCTATTGCACAAGGCGGAGACTGCAGTACAATAATGATTTGTTTTCGTCGGTAGGGCAATTGACGTAGGCTTTGTAGAGACGGTTCTTCTCGGCGAGTAGTTTGCTGATGGTGGCGTCATTGCCTTCGAATCTATCCTGATGTGGGCGGCGCGCGCGACCAAGGACGGCCATGGCCGTTGACTGTATTCTGTCTCTCATTTGACACCATCGGTTCTCCATGGAGGCCTCCTCGTCTGCGGCGACGACTGAGAGGTTGAATAGCCTTTGA